CCCAATAGAAAAATTTTCTGCTAATGTGCCCCGTTCCCCAGTGCGAGAGCTGCTGGAGATGGAGCCAGAGACAGCCAAATTTAGGTAAGAATACACTTCCTTTGGTATACATTGCCATAAAATGTTTTTAAGCTGTGCTTCATAAACTACTGAGGGTTTTTAAATGTCACGAATTACTTTTAATTTCTTTTGCACTAAGCAGCTAGCGTGATCATTGTGTTCACTGATTTTTATTTTTTTTCCTTGCATAACTTTCTGAGAAAAGTAATGATTTCTGTTTAACTATACTGCTTTTACTTCTGCAGAAAAGAGAATGTAGTCTTTTATTTCACATTAACTTGCCTAGGCAGTAAGTAATTCTTGTGTATATTTTTGCAGTCCTGCAGAAAGAACTTACGATGGAAAGGTCAGAGTAACAGTGGAAGTTGTAGGAAAGGGAAAGTTTAAAGGTGTTGGCAGAAGCTACAGGATTGCCAAATCTGCAGCTGCGAGAAGAGCACTACGAAGCCTCAAAGCAAATCAACCTCAGGTCCCAAACAGCTGAGACTCCTCTTAAAAATAAATAAAATGGGGGGAAAAAACCACATAGAAATAAAACAAATTTTTAAAAATGTTGATGTTGAGAGGAACAAATTGGAAGACAGAATTTAAAGTTTGTTTGATAACAGAATAGATAACAAAACATTTAACATGTATAAAATTTTGGAACTAATTGTAGTTATAGTTTTTTGCGCAAACACAATCTTGTCTTCTTTCCTCACTTCTGCTTTGTTTAATCACGAGAGTGCTTTAATGATGACATTTAGCAAGTGTTCAGAATAATTGTTGTCAGGTCTTTTTGGTTTACTTTTATTGTCAGTACAGCTTTGCTTAGTGTTAGAAGGCCAGGGAGCTTACGCCTAATGCAGTTGCTAGATTTATATATAGTAATCTTAAAATTCTTCAATCTGTGCACTAGTGCCAGTCATAAAGCAGTTGATAAACTGTACTGGATGATTGGGTATAAGAAAGAATAAGTGTGCCAGTATTCTTTTTTTTTCTTTTCTTTTTTTTTTTTTTCTCTCCATGTCATCTTTTTACATTAAGATGGCATTCCCAATCATTATTGCACTTATTTGTTAGGGACAGATTTTAATTGAAATGGCTGGCATACTGGTAGAATGAAACTTCAGTTTTCTTATGCCACACAGTCTTGCATAAAAAAAGGTTCTTGCCTTAAAAATAAATAAACCCTCATTAATAATCTTTAATTTCTGATCTCTTTTGGAACAAACTGTTTTACATTCCCTTCATTTTGTTATGCATTTTACAATGATACAGCTCTATATTTACAGTACAACTCATTACTATAGCTGTGACTTATTACAGGATTATAATAGAAATTGTATTCATATATATGTAATTAGGTTATTTTTAACAATTCTGAGGAAGTGGTTAGTCTACAGTGTTTTTTTTATACCATAAACAAAATATGGTCTTTGGCTAAAATTCCAATTTTACACAAACCTGCAAGCTAGATAGTTCCAATACTGGAAACAGTAATGAATAATTGCACAGTGCAAACTGTCACTCTAACAAAATAACCTTAGACATATCACACCTAAAATATGCTGCAGATTTTATAGTCAATTGGTTACGTATTTAACAAACAGAGCACCTTTACACTTAGAGATATTTCCACGTAAATTTCTTACTGTACTTTTCAGAGTTGCATGCATATTTCACCTACCAAAGCTGTGCTGTTAAATAACATGAAAGTTGATGTTTGAGATATAACTGCCGTACTTTTGATACATCTGTGATTTAGGTCCTTAATTTAGAGAAACTAGCTCATTGGTGTTTTGGTCTACTGGGGTGGGAGGGAAATCATACTTTTATTTTTTAGGCTTTGCCTATACTTCTTTAATTAGATTTTTGTAGGCACTCTTCACTTAAATACCTCAGTTCTTTTTTTTTCTTTTCTTTTCCTTCTTTTTTTGCATGCATTGTTTTTTTCTGTTTTGGTGCTATGTTTATATATTATGCTTGAAATTTTAATTTTTTGCACTGTAACTATAATACCTCTTAATTTACCTTTTAAAAAAGCTGTGGGTCTCGTATTCCCACCAATATCAGTAGAGGTTTGCTGCAATTTTGCCCTGTTAATTATGCTTGAAGTTTGAGAAAGCAGAGCAAGGTGTTTTAATGTTTTCCAGCACAATAGTTTGAACTTGATGCTGTGTCTTATGTATTAAATTACAAATAAATACTGTATTTCCTGCTTTGAAAACCTATTCCTTTCCTCACAAATGCACACTAAAACAAAACAAAAACTGTCAGCTCTTGCTTTCTTAACAAAAAAATAAAATAAATGCCTTAGTGACAAGGGGTAGACATTAAGCTTTTCTGAAATACAGTTTTCAAAAGTTCTTATATTTTCTATCCCAGTCATTTTTCATTCTGCAGAAAGGACCGTTCTTGTATTTGAAAACAGCATTGTTATAGTAGTCAGACTGAGACTTAAAATACTAGTTTATAAAAAATTTCTAGCATTTGCTTGGTACTTTAGTCATTAAAATATAACAGGGAAGTATAAGACCTGCAAATCTTGATGTGTATAAAACAAATGTAAATGAGATGGAACAGTAAAAACATGCAGTCTAAATTCTCAAAGGTAAATTGCTTTGAGTTAGCTGTTTAAAAAAAAAAGTCACCGATTTAAGTTATAACTCTTTCTTTGTGGTAGGAGTGAAGTTTCTTAGAGAAAATACCTGATCACCAATGTTAACAATTCTGTGTTTCTGGCCAGACATCAATCAGCAGATAAAATCAGACCATCTAGAAAGTCTTAAGTAGTTCTAACTGCATTATGAAAAACTAAAATTTAAGTTAGTCTTTGAACGCCTAAAATTTTCTTCCTGATTGTTACAAGGTTATAGATTCTCAGGGGTTTCAGGTAATTGTTAGCAGTAAAGTGCTACAGAGTGTTTTGATGCAAAGAAAATTAACTGAACTTGCTCTGTGTTTCAGAATAGTTTAATGATCACTTTGTTACTAGATAAAGCCTATGAATTGGAAATCTGAAATGTGTAGTGGCTGACTATAAAGTAGTTTCTGCTGCTGATGCGTTTTTAAATGTGTTTTAAATGCCGTAACTTTTTCCAGTGTGACCTCATTGAAATATTTTTTTATCCTTTGAGATAGAAAATTCATATTAGCTTCCATGTTATACATCTGTGTGTTTTGCCCTACAGTTGATATGATTTTGATATTGGACAGTGTATGCTATTAAAGACCTAAATCTGATCATTTGAAGGTTGGGATAGAAATCACTTGACATGCTATAAGCACAAGTGTGAGCGGACTGTTGCAACCCATCTTCAAAAGCAACCACACAGGCTCATCATAAATAGTGTGGGGGTTAGTTGGCATGAACCTTGTTTTTTTATCTAAGTCCTGTTATACTGTACTTTAAACAGTCCTCCTAACTATGCTGCGTTTTTATTTTTATGGCTTTTTTTGCGCTGTTCTGTTCATGTAGCACAAATAAGCATTGCACTTGGTACCATGCTTTACCTCATTTCAAGGAAAAAATGCTTAACAGAGAGGAAAAATGTGGTTTGGCCTTGCTGCTGTTCTGATTTACTGAATTTGAAAAAGATAATTATAATGCCTGTAATGTGTCATTTACTTGCACAACTTAAATAGGTCATTTGTAACGTCTGTGGCATTTTTACTGTATGTGGAAAAATACAACAAAGATGTGTAACAACTCTTGATTGTATTTTAAAGCTATTGTTTTTCTACTACATCATTTTACTGTTATGTGAAGTAATTAAAATTAGAATGACCTCTGACACTCCGGTAATTATCTCTGAACAAACCAACATATTATGTTTGCGAGAAGACAGCCCCTAGTAATTTGGTCAACCTCAGCTAAATCTCTGCTCAGTCTGAATATTGAGTGCCCAGTAGCGACTTCTGAAGTGTTTGTTCAGCTTGATGCTGCTAAAATCCGTACAGAAAAAAAGCCGACTATTTTTAAGTCTCATTACACAATAGTATGTTGTGACTGCAGAGTACAGAACTTGGACAAGAACCAGTTTCCGTGCTGGGGTGGATTATAGTGGTGGCCCAGGGATGAGGTGCCAGATCCTCAGCTAGTGCGAATTGATGTGGTATCATTTTAATCAATGGAACTGCATTCTTTTACATACCTGAAGATCTTGTGCTTTTATGTATGTTGCAGAGTTTGGGTTTTCCTCCTTGTAAGCAAATACAGAACCATAAACTGGAAAATGTGGGTTTTATGTTACTGCATATGACATAACTATGCTACGTGCATTTACCTGTACAGAAAGTGAAATCTTTGTATCCCAGTCACAGCAGCACACGTAATCCAAACATGACAAATAGCATCGTGCTCTGCTGTGATAGTACACTTGCCTCTATCTGACAGTATTCGGGGCTTGTATGTTTTGGGTGGGGTTCCCTACAAAAGCATTCTCATGGAGATTTCGGTATTTATTACATGAGTAAAGCGAGAAGGATTTTGATTTTTGGTACTTAATTACTGACATTGATCATTTTCCAATTGCTCTAATTTTCAAGAAGTTAATTTCTTTGCTTTCATATTAGGTTTAAAACTTAAACCACTGCAGTACATGAGCATGAAATGTAATCTAAATATCAACTGTAACTCAATCTGAATTATGTTAGCAAATATCTGGAGGTCATTGTAGTATACTCCACTAGCAGTTAAAATTAACTTCTGTCAAAGCTAACTACATTTCTTAAAAATAAATTTTATCCAATACAGTCCTTAGGTTTTTTCCCTCTTTTGTTTGAATGGCAACCACAGACTACTTTAATTGCATTGTAGATGCACTCAGAATTTACTGCAGCAGCAAGTTGGAGAGAAAAATGTTTGTGAACAAGAATTGGAAATTGCAGGCATTTTTATTGTAAATAGTTTGACTGAAAAGGTGGTTAAAATCGAGTAGAATGAATAACGAATATAATTTGATGGACAATAAAATATTTACCATCACATGCTGCAGCTGTCTTTAAGGGACATAAAATGTAATTCATTCATACTGTAATCATGCTGCAGAAGTTTGCAATCTGCACCTTATGGATCACAATTACCTTTAATAGTTTTTTGTAATAATTGTAGCTGAGTATATCTCCAATAAAGTTATGGTCTGTTCACCCTGTATTGTCTTTTTGCTTTTGTTATTAGTTCCTCTTAATCTTTCCATAAATCTTATAGAGTTTACAAAAAATTAATTTTCAGTTTCAGTCTAAATAAAACAATTTGTGAAAACATTATTTCTTGACCTTGTTTAAAGACAGGTCTGCTTGTCTCCTTCCTCTGATGAATGAACTGTCTTCAGAGCTATGTGAAGACTCTTAAGGGACACTCGAGTTAAAAATGATGGTGTACATGCTACAATTTGATCTCTGTGTTGACTGTTATACCTGCAAAATTTCTCTTGGAGCTGGGAGGCCCCAGAGCACAAGCGTTCAGTAACACAGGTTTGCACAATTTGGCACACGTTTGAAGACTAAAGTGTTAATGTTAGCTAATAGTCGCAACATTAATAACATTGATTTTAATTATTTTTTCCATTTGTTTTCCGTTAGTATTTCACTTACCCTGAATATTGAAAGCATGTTTGTAGAGCGTTCTGACTGGCACACCAGTGTCATGTCCATGTTTTATGGAGACGAGACAGACCTGCCAGTCGAAGATCAGGAGTCTTCCTTTTTGAAAACTTCCCAATGCAGCAGTCAGTTTCTTGGCATCTGCAACGGGCAACTTCTACTACATGTTTTGTTACAGAGAAAAGCCTGCTGAACCACTGATAGGCACGGTGGTACCTTTTTCTGGGACTTGGAGGAGGGCCAAATCACCTAAGTCAGCAGTGTCAGTTTGTTCCTTGTCTCAGCTGCAATGAAGCAAGCAATTCTCAGCTGAGAATCCTGAGGAACCTTGTGGATCTCCTATGGCTTTACAGCTCTTTTTTCCCGCCTCTGGGTTCCACCCTGACACTGATGGCACTGGTAGGTAAGGCCCTTTAAGCTCCAATATGTAGGCTAGTAAGCCGTAGTAGGGGATGACAACACAGCCCCCACCCCCCAAGTTCTAGCAAGTGGGTCAAATCGGAAAACTTTCCCCAAATTTTCTACAGGAAAATAGGCCTGAAAAAAATAATTAAAAAAAAAAAAGTTGAAGATGCCATTATCTTTCTGTTCGTTGTGAAGGGATGAGATGAGGAATGGCCGTCTAAATTTGAGTCTCAAAGGAAGTGGTCCATCCCTTGCTGGGTAGTAATGTGGAGCATCCAGAGTTCTTCAGAAAGTCAAAGTGTGAAATCAATAAAGGTTCTGCTTCAAAGGCAGGTGACTTCATTTTTTGCCAGTATGGGAGCATCACCTACTTACTGTAGATTTTGAGTACAGTTTATTAGCAATGGTGTTGAAACCGCGTAATATAAAATAATAGATCCTTTTAGTTTTTTAAATTTAAGCTGCTCAGAATACAGCAACGACTGGGTTCTTCCTGCCCCCCGAAGGAACATCAGGCTTGACGTAAAAAGAGGAATAATTAACCTTAGTAAAGCTATAACATCAATACACAAATTTTCAGGATAGTTACCATTTGTCATCCTGACAAACCTCGGCGGCCACTCTATAGGTATTGAAAAGAGAATACCTCTATGTCTGTTTGAAGAGTTTACAGGTACTGGTTTCTCATCTCATTATAAGAATAAATGTGTTTCATAATTGCATCAATAGAGCTAAGATATGTATTTGACTTAGCTGCTATTCTTCTTAAGTAAAACCATACAGAAAAAGGAATTTGAGTGAAAACTAAGGGGAATAAGTTTTTGAATATGCCTGCCCTGAAGAGGTAGTAACAAAGCTAATCATAACTTCAAGTCCAGAAACAGAGGAGCAGATTTGGTGCTTGGCTGGGCTTCCCTTAACACTTCTGCTGGAGACCAGGTGCAGGATCTGTTCCTCAGAGGAAATCTCCATGTCAGTGGACACAGGCAGTACTGACATGTAAGTGGGTTTTATTTTACTCATAGCTGCGATTATGTTCTTCCTTAATGTAGAACGTGAACAATACTTTCATTTTGGTGAGTAAAATAACCAAGGACCTTCAATATGTTATGAAAACAGTATCATTTACTTTGCAGCTTAACCACCTCCACTTACCTGGCTTACATTGTTGTGGGGTTTTTTTTAACATTGCTTTTTTATATATGTTTTATTGAAAGCTTCATGCTAACTCTTAAATTGAAGTAATTTTCTTTGGTTAACTTGAAAATTTCCTGTAGTTTTGGGTTCCTGGCCAGCTCCCGCTGAAGTCACTGGGAAGACATCCACTTGGGCTCTGTAATTTGTGTGCATTTGAACTTAACACAAAAGTCCTTCAGGTATAGTAAGTGTAAATTCCAGACGTCAAGTAGAAGTTGAGAAATGCAGTGATGGGCAAAGGCAGCCTCTTCTGTTTTGGTTCCATTTTTGAGGCTCTTAAGTAAAAAGGGTGGCACGTTTGCCAGCTACCTACTTTTTAGATAGCCCACCTATTGTGGTGAATATCCAACTGCTTGCTCCATTTTCTTTTGCCAGGTGGGCAAGACTTAGAGGGGAGGAATGAGGGCAATCTTCCTTACAGCTTTTATTAACATCTAGGATGCTTCAGCTAACTTAAGACGTGTGCTCTGCAGACAGCTGCATCTGGGCCAACTCCCACCCATTTCTTCTGCTTTCAGTGGAGCCACGTCAGCAGCCGCAGGGCACCGTTCGGTTTTCCTGCCCTTAGATCACCCTTTCAAAACGAGGTGAGTTGAATGAGAGAGAGGCCCCTTCGTCCCCATCCAGGGCTGGCACTCAGCTGATGAGATGGATCCCACGCTGTAGCTTGAAGCTGGAAATGCTCGTTCAGGGAAAGTGATGGGGCAAGGAGAAGAGATTTCATCTAGCTGCACCACAGCCAGTGAGTCACTAGTTAGTCCAGGGTCACGCTCATCTCCTGCCGAGGTGAGGATGATCCCCTCTTTACTGCACTTGGCCTGAAGCACGGGAGTGAGTATGAACTGTTGCAGCTGTTCCAGCATTTGTAATAAAATGATGCTAAGTTTGCAGACTTCATTTACCTACTCCGAAGCACTGACCTACAGGAGGGGACTGTGGGATCACCAGTCCAGTCTTCAACTATATATTCCTTTAAGAAAGTTTTCACAGAAGTACTTGAGTGGCACTTTGCCATCAATTTTAGGGTAAGGTTTTTAACTTTGTTTTATAAATGAGAATCTAAGTAACATACAGGAGCAGCACTATGGTTGTACAAGTTGCCTATTGCACAACTACTAGCATTAGCACAAGCGTCAGTGAACACAGATATCATTAAGCATAGACATCTGCTTCCATGCTCTTACACCACGGCTGTCTACACCAGCCATTTTTGCTTTCATGTATTCACTCTCAGTCACCTGAATTTAGGCAAGACGCTGGTGTCAGAACAAAACCCTCCTTGCATTCAGTCAAGCCTCAGTATCTTGATAGCTAAGATCTGCCCTATTCTCACATATCTATATAGCAATTAATAGTATTTTGCAGCACCAATTTTAAGTTAAGAAATTATTGTTTTCAGGGTGATTCTAGCTGGAATAGCAGGGCATTATGTTCCTGCCAGCAACACTCATCACCTTCCTCCCAGCTTTACATAGTACATGTGCTCCAGGCAAAAGAGATCTCATTATACGAACAAGCATGGCACAGGCAGCCGTACTCCCTGTCTTGCCAACTGGCTGCTGTGCAGGGCCATGCCAGCAAAAAGCTCACTTAAAACAAGGGCAAAAGTTCCCAGGACTCTGCCTCAACAACGGTGTTGAAATTGCTGGTGGTGGAGAGGGGAAGGGATCTGTGGAAGAAGTAGTAACCATTTTTTCCTGGACCAAATGTTTTTGCTGGTCCTTAAAAAGTTGCCCTTTTTGTGGAATCCATCGGCTAGAAGGGTTCCTGCACTGAGCACCAAGCACTGCCTGCTGTGGAGGGCTGAATTCCCAACGAGTGCCGCTGTCCCCTGCAGGTGCAGCAAGGCAGAGGAGGGGCAATTCAGACCTTCCTGACCCACCTTGCAGAGCTGAATCAAGCACACATCCTTGTGCGTGTGCATCGCAAGGGTACTCGTTTTACTTAACGTTTGGTTGCAAGCCACTAAATTAGTGCAAACCATACAGCAGCCTCTGTGGAAGAGTTTTTGTAAAGTAATGTTGGTTTATTGGCAGTTTAGCTAAGGTGAAGGGTTACTTAATGCAGCAGCTAAATAAATTGCAACAGAGCCTATGGCACATGGGCTGCAGGAACTAAACTAAACATGAGTATATAATCTATGCTAGATACACAGCAGCTGCTTTTTGTATAGGATACGGCGTGCTGATGTGTGTCAGAAAATCCCAGAAACTGCAGTGACTGAGGCGAGGAGTGAAAGGGGACCTGCATAAACGCCTGAGATGTATCAACAAATAGAGAAAGTTGTAGGCTGGAAATATTTTGGAAGAAACGCCAAGATTCAGAGACACCTCAAATGTAGAGAGGAAAGGGAACAGACCTGGGCAAGTCGGCTCTTAGATCAGCTCCCCATAAAGGGGTGAGCATCGTGGAGGAGGGCTGGGCAATGGTGGAAACAGGCAGTGACAAAGTTTGCTTATTCCAGCACCAGGTTTTAAGGTGACAGCGAGACATGTGGGAGGGACTGAGAAGAAGAAACCAACTGAAGTAGAGCCTTACATAGAAGCAGAGGTCAAGCTTAGCCACCAGGTACTACAGAAGTCACTTACCAGTTTTTGCTACTTCCAATAATCTTTAAGCCTCAAGTATCCCTGAACTTAGTCCTCTGAGGTCCAAAACAAGTCCTGCAGTCCAGGGGCCATCCAACATTGCCTCCTCCTGCAACAGTTTAGAGCTTGTGACTCTTTGCATGTCACCCCTGTCTTAACTGCAATAGTGAAAACTCTGCCTTGCATCCAAAGCAGGCTTGTGGTGAGAAGAGCCGTGGTCTGTCCGCTGTGCCAACAATAAAGGTACAGTTTCTGTGCCAGCCACGCCACAGACAGCAGGCATGGTAGGGTTGTGTTTGATAGGTGGGAAACTGGTTTTGCTGTTAGAGATAAGACTGTAGTTGTGGTCTT